ATCCAATCCATGGGCTGCAGATTCCTTACCCCTGGCCTAGAGATAGGAGAGTGACTGAGGTAAAGGGCTAAGGAGAGAGTTTTGAAGAGATGCCTACTGAAAAAAGAGTGAGGAGGTGGAAGACCCACTAAACTAATGCTGACACACTGATGGGCAAGAGGTCAGAGGTGAATCAGGAGAGCACAGCCACAAATTCAAATATGAGGACATGGTTTTAAGAAACAAAGAGTGACTTATGGTGTCAAAAGCTATTAAGAGATCACAGAGGAAGAGGATAGAACAGAAGCCCTGGAATTTGGCCAGGAGAAGATCATTAGACTTTAGCTAGAACAGTTTCATTAGTTTGGACAAAGTAAAAACGAGATTGTTGGAGGTGAAGACTGGAACTGGACGTGAGAAACTCAAGACAACAGTTGTAGACAGCAAGGTCAATTCATTTGAAGGAGAAAGGAAATGGTATGGTAACTTAAGAGGTAGTGGCGTTGTAAAGGGTTTTAATTTCTATGGATGAAAAATGATGCATAAGCACTGCTTAAGAGCCAAGATTCTTTTTTTATCTCTATTAAGAACTGGGAACTTATTCATGGGAGTCAGGAATTTTCAAAGTGTGTCCTGAAAAACCGAGAATCGGGGTAAACTAGTAAATATTGAGACTGCTGCCTATTTTCTTAATGAGGTTAATGGAACAATGTTTTACCAGACCAGGGGAGGAAATAGAATCATTCCATTCTTCTGCCTCATATCCACAGCTTAGGGAGTAGCCATAACTCCACTTTTCTTCATCCTGTGTCTCTTGCACTGTAGTACCTGCTGCTTGTGACACAGCAGAATAGCTGCTGCTCCACCCTTGTCCTATGTGACTCAGAGTGCGGAGTAATTGCAGGTTGGTTCAGCTACCTCACTTCTGTGACCCACTGGATGTACAACATTATGGATTCACTCTTGACCTCTTAGAATATCTGTTTCCAGGCTACTACACACTTAAAAAAAAATCTAGCTGGAGATTGAAATTCAGATGCAATCCTAAATTACCATGACACCTTGCATGCATCTCTGGGCAAGGTGTAAGGGAGGGCCAGTTCTTCATCCCCAAAAGAAGTGGGCCTTGGGGAGCAGGGGCAGGATTGGGTGCAGCCAGCTTTCTGTATTGCCCAGAGTGTGGTGCACCCCTCACAGCCCTCAGTGCTGCCCAAAGGGCGCGATGCTTCAGTGACAATTTAAAAGGCCCGAGGCTCTGGTATGGCCAGCAGCTCTGAGCTCCTTTGAATTGCTGGTCCTGGGATAATTGCCCCCTTTGCCCTCCAGTCCGCAGTCCTGGTCCCCTTCGGCTCCAGTCCCTTTTCAATTCAAACCAAGCAATTCCGCTTGCAATTTTGCAATACCTGCTTGCTTACTAGAGCCCTAGTCTGGAGCGTGCACTTCAGCATTGGTGCAAGAGCAGGCAAAATATGGTACACAAGCTGGATTCAGTGCACCAAACCTTTGGATCTAGCCCACCACTGTGCTGCAGTCCAGCAGGGCCCCCGGCCAGGCTCAAAGCAGACAGCTGCTGGAGCCACATGCATCTCTGCTCACCCTTGGGAGGAAGGCTTTATGCACTGCCCCAAGCCCTAGCACAATCGTGAAGCTCCCAATGGTGGTTTTCCTGACAATGGGAGTTGTCTGGGCCAAGCTTGTGGTGCAGGTAACGTGTGGAGGCCGCACTCCCAGGGGGAGCATGGCGCACAGAAATGCACACACTGGCCCCAGTAGCTGGCCGCTTTGAGCAGCATGCAGTGGCATGGAAGATAAGGTGCTTGCCTGAGGGTCCTTCTTGACTTTGGGCCAGGAGATGCCTTGTGTAAGTGCCTCCTAGCCAGAACCTGCAATTGGCATGACACCACCCCTTCCCTCCCGCTTAATTCCCTGCCCCAGGTCAGAACCCAAACCTCTGGTCCCCTTCCTGCACCCATAGCCCCAGGCCGCAATTCTCTCCCAGATCCCGCATCCCCTCCTGCACCCAATTCGCTACCTCAAGCTCCCTTCTGTACCCAACCTACTTCCCAGACCCCGCACCTCCTCCATTAATAACATAAGAAAGTATGGCCCTTAACCATTTATCAAATTTGTGGAGTGGTCCCCCATCAAAAATGATTGCCCACTACTGGGTAGTGCATGTGAAGTCTGGCCAAAGCATAGGAGATTAGAGATATAAAATCCCATTTAATTAACCAGTTAAAAGTAATATTTAACCAGTTAACCAATCAAAGGGGGGCAGCCCTCTTCCCCACTGTGGATGGGATGGAGTGGCCCCGCTGCTGCGGATAGAGGGACTGGACCCACCGCCAACAAGGGTTGTTACAGCCAGTCTGGAGCATTTCTGCCTGCTCTGGGCTCCATGGGGCAGGAGCAGCCCCCTTCCTGCGGCAGGCAGGGAGCTGCTCTACCTCCCACTGCTTAGGTGAGGCTTACTGGTTAACCATTCGCATGTGAGCAGGATGGTCCATAGTCAATCTTTGAAGAATGATACTGCAATTTAAGGATGTTAAGTATCGACTAATTTTGCATCCACTATTCCATTAGACAATAGGGCACCTTGGCTTTTGAAGTGTTATTGCTACACTTCAAAGGCGAAAGCACCATGTGGAACCCAGGATCAGCAGCGAGGGGGGAATTCTCCGCTGAGGGCAGGCTTCATTCGGCATCTCACTTTGAAACACCGCAGGGAGCCTGATGCTAGACTGTCCATAGCGTTTCAAAGCGGTAGCATTGCATGGAGCCTGTGGTCAGCTGGAGTCCACAGCTGATCCTGGGCTCCATGTGGCGCTGCCACTTTGAAATGCTGCGTGCAGCCTGAGGACACTCCAGTGGCGCTGCCGCTTTGAAGTACTCCCTCTTCTCCTCCCACCCCTTTGCTGCCTCTATCTGATGGAGCCAGCAAGGAGGTGGGGGAGTGACTAGTCGACTATCCTGTTGACTGTCCAATAAGTATTTGCATATTGGATAGCTGACTAGTCCTTCACATCCCTACTGCAATTCTCTAACAGATCTCTACTGAGTAGCTATGAACCAATTTTTCAGGATTTGTAACATGGCCAAATTTGCATGGATGTTCACGGCAAAAGCAAAAAGCACATCCCTGACAACAGTGTGATCTTCCCACCAAATCCCACTCCCTTCTCCCCTATTTATTTTGGGTCTGCACATCTTAAACTCAAGACTCCGGTCATCTGAAGAAGTGGGCTGTGCCCATGAAAGCTCATGATACCATCTATATGTTTTGTTAGTCTATAAAGTGATACGAGACCAGTTTTTTTTTTTTTTTTAAGTTTATCAACTTTCAAGTGTCTGCTCCAAAACATGGATTGCTAGAGCACCACACTATCCAAATATACTGTAGGCAATTGCTCCTTAATCTTGTTCTTGCAAACAACTACGATGTTTTTGCTGAAAATTTTAAAAAATCAACCTGTGGCAGGCAAGTGCAAAATTAGGGAAACTGATACAGGGTTTTATAGTAGAAAGTCTTAGGCAACTATATTATACAGATAATAAAGTAAATGAAATTTTTAAAAGCATTTTTCACTATTATAATGTAATTTGATAATACAGGTTTAGGTTCCTTGACATTTTTTTTTCTTGACAGCACAAAATCAGATTCCTCACAAAAATTCAGTGAAAAAAATATAATCAACATAATATTAGGCATTGTAGAAACCAGTGTTTCTAAGGAGGAAGTATGATACAATAAATATCTTCCTGTAATATTAAGTCTCTTTCTTGGTAATGGGCATGGGTAGGTAAAATCCCCTTCTGACACACATGTACTGACGTACATAGCTTGTTTTGAACTGTGGAAACTTCTGAAAGATATATAATCTACTACTATTTAACTCACTGAGCTTAAGTACAAGCATAAAGCAGACTTACTTTTCCTTTCAGTGTAGATCACACAACCCAACTTGGCATTTTCAACCCTCCTCCTCCCCCACCCTCTTCCACCCTTATCTAACCCTCCTAATCTCTCTCAGTCCTGCTGCCCTCTCTCTCTTCTGCCTCATTTCTTGTTAGTCTTTAAAGTGCTACCAGACTATTTGTTGTTTAAGTTCATTTCTTCATGTTCAGCATAAAAATCATTTTATCCCTCTTGAGTAAAAGCTCTCTTCCTTCCTTTTTTCTTTAGAGCTTAGTACTGACCTGTAACTTTCGCACTCAGCGAGTGAACCTGCCGCCCCTCCTCCACACAGCAATGTATACAGTGCTGTAAAGCGTCAGTGTGGTCAGTTCTACAGAGCCATGTTCCCAAGGCTGTTAGTTGCTTCTAGAGAGAAGTGGGAGACTACATTTCCCAGCACTGATGCTGTGACCATATTACCACATTAAAACGCTGTTGCGGCAGCACTTTAATCTAAGTATACAAAAAGCCTTAGCTTCAGGAGAGGCTGTAATAAAAATAACCCTATTAAGGATCACATTTTTGCTCTCAAAGTTTCATTCTGCAAGTAGCAGGGTATGCTGGTCCTGATCCACCAAAACTTAAAGCATTTTAACACATGCCTGACTTTAAATATACCATTGCCTTCAGTGGGCCAATTTGTACATAAAGTACACAGCTACCAGATTTGCAAATGGCTTAGGCAGTTGAGCTCTATTTATTTTTCTTCTCACTGTTCAAAAAATTAACCCCTAGCCTCATTCCCTGTATATGACTTCTGTATTGATTACACAGCCTAATTCATTAGTTCTCAACTGGTACATGTGTACCAATGGGGGTACACAGCATTCTTCAAGAGCAGGCCTGCACAACTTGGAAAGCGGCGATGGCCATATTACTCCAAAGAAAACAACTGTGGGCTAAAAATTTTTGTCGAGCCAAAAAAACCAAAAACAAAACCCAAACCGCGAGTCTCCACTTGGCCCCCTAGCATTTGTCTCTCTTGCTGCACCCTGCCCCTTGGTGCCTTCCCCTTTCTCCTGACCTGCTCCCCTCCCATCAGCACAAGCCCCTTCCTCTCCCCTACCTGGCTTCTGCCTTCCAGTTTGCGATGCTGCCGGGGCCTTTTTGAATCTGGCTGTCGCCGGCCGTGACGTCACAACGCCACGTCACGCCAGCATCCTGGCGTCTGCCGCTGTCCCGCCCTCTGGCTCGTACCCCGCCTCCTCGTGCCAGAGCTGCATACAGGAAGTCCGGACGCACTTCCCCCTTCCTGGTGGCGCTCCACTCCTCCGCCCAGCCAGCGGATCGGATGGGGCCACACCGCCCATAGTCGGCACGGGCCACACAGTGAGCCCCTGCGGGCGGCATGCAGCCCTCAGGCCGTATGTTGTGCAGGCCTGTTCAAGAGGGTACATTAACTCATCTAGACATTTACTTAGTTTTACAACAGGCTACATACAAAGCACTAGCAAAGTCACTACAAACTGAAACTTCATAAAATGACTTGTTAATGCAACTCTATACACTGTAATGTACGTACAATATAACATTCTGATTTTTATAATTATGTGGTAAAAATGAGAATGTAAGTAATTTATTAGTAACAGTGTGCTGTGACACTGGTATTTTTAGGTTTGATTGTGTAAGCAAGTAGATTTTAAGTAAGATGAAATTTGGGGGTGTGCAAGATAAATCACACTTCTGAAAGGGGCACAGTAATCTGGAAAGCCACTGGCCAAATCAATATAGTCCCAAATATGCTGTCAGTTACACTGATGTATTATGGAAACAAGAGCAGTGATTTCCATAAACTAAATGTAAATTCAGACCATGGTAATATCATATAAAATTAGTCACCACTTCACGACATGAACTGTATGGATTTTGTCCCATTCAAGTCATCATCCAACCTGCTTACTGAGCATGCTGCTGTGTTCCTTGGGAGTAAGAAGTAACCATATCATTCCAGATTGTAGAGGGGGGTGGGCAAATGATGGCTGCGAGCTACATCCAGTCCATGAGGGCTTTTAATCCAGCCCTTACGATTACCGGTATAATTACCAGACTAAACCAGGCCACTCCCGGTAACAGCTGGCACATCCTTGTAGCCTCTGGGAGGGGTGAGCAGAGGTTTCTGTGCTCTGCCCTTAGTTTACTGGTAGGTGCTGTCCCTGCAGCTCCACTTTGCTGGAAGCAGCGAACTGCAGTGAAGGTGTGGGGAGGGGCTGTGCCATCAGGTGAGGCCAGTGTGCAGAGCCCCCTCTGTCTCTACCCCCTGAGGACTACTGCCAGACTTGACACTTTGGGGAGTGGCACAGTGAAGGGGCTCACTGTGCTGCCAACTGGGAGCCACTTGAGGCAAGCAGCACTTGGTCGGAGCCCTCCTGTACCCTAACCCCCTTCCATGAACCCCTTCTACACCCTGCATCATCCCGCACAACAAACCCCTGCCCCAGCCCTGTAGTCATGGCCCACCATATGATTTCCATACTCAGATTTGTCCCTTGGGCCACCCCTGCTGTAGCAGAACGATCCCCTCCCTGCACTGATCTTTGCAATGGTGCTATAGCCACCTTCTCTGTCACTGAGTGAATAGATAAAATCAAGCATCTCACCAATTATCTTGCCAGTGCTGGGCTCCATGTGAGTTTCAAGCTAACATGTGACAAAACCCCCAAAGGAAGGACACACAAACATTATGGAGGACACTGAAAAGGGGGTGGGAGTGCAACTCCACAGTGGCTAGTAGAGATGTAAATAACTGCCAGGCATACAGGGAGGGGAAGTGTCACGTGTGTAGGCAGCCCCCTGGGAACAACATGCTGCCAGCAGCCCCTGCAGCGGGAGGCTCATCCCCAGTGTGCCTCGGTGGGCGGAGCTAAGGGCACCCTGCGAGCGCTGCAAGGCCAGAGTCAGGCACGTTTCTTCCTCCCTCCCCTTCGCCGTGGTTTCTTCTGCGTGTGGGAAACAGCGTCACAATGCGCTGGGCGAGTCCAACTGCGGCCCTGGAAAAGGGTTATTCCACATTCTGCCGTCGAGTGGGGGAGGGCCTGGGAGCTGGGTGGCGGGAGCTTCTGTGCTCTGGCCTGACCTCGGAGCGCCGGGGGCGGGGGAGAGAATAGGGAACGAACTCCGTCCCTCCCCCCCCTCCCCGTCCCTGCGGAGCGATGGTCTCGTCCGGAAGCGCGCGGGCGTGG